GTATCAGACTAAAAATTGAGATTGAGATTGTAATGGAATTTGACCAATTAAAACAAAGTTCACTAAATTTGAGATTGGTTTTCTTTCTTCTAATTGGTTAAATCCCAATTCAATCTCAATCTCAATCTTTAGTCTGATACGGGCTTAAGATGAAACCACCACCGATATGCTCTCTCCAGTCCTCCATGCCAGAGGCCTAGGCGCCCTAGGCCATGGTGGAAGCGCTGACGGTCTTTAACAATATCTTGTCAGTGGTTTCGACCATGTTTTCTTATATGAAAAGTTTGTTTATTTTCGAGAGTACGAATGATTGTATTTATAAACAAAGATAGTAATCTGTTTTTTATTTAAAATATGAAAAATAAAATAGTGACTTATTTGCCAGGTGACTTATTATTTAATGTACAATTAGATATACAATTAAATATATGCATGAGAGAGTAACACTTTTTAATGAAACATTTTATAAATTTTCAGCTGTTTCGCCATCGCTTTCTCCTTGGATAATCGTAATTTTGTCACTTTGTTTTCTCAACAGTTATGACGGAAATTTTGTTTTTGACGATACCGAGGCTATCGTCAATAATATTGATGTACGTGACACACCATTCTGGGATATATTTCAAAATGACTTTTGGGGTACTAAATTATCCCACAAGCAAAGCCACAAATCGTACAGACCTCTTACCATCCTTAGTTTCAGGTAAAATTATATTATCAAATGTATCCATAATATATGTAACATTATTTTGTCAAAAAACTACAAAAATCAATTTTCTTTTTTCCTTGTAGATTACATTTTTGGTTACGACAAGACTTAGTTTCACAGGACTTTCATATTGTAAACATAATATTACACAGTGTAATTTGTTTACTAACTTTATTCGTATACAATGTATTTTTGGGGCCAGAAGGACAGAGTATCTCATTTTATGCCACAGCTTTATTCGCCGTTCATCCAATTCATACAGAGGCTGTAATTATAATCATAAAAATATTATTAACGGGCAAATAGTATTAAACTGAAGTAATTTTTACATCCTGGTAGAATAAGAAACAAGCTCAGTTTTAATAGTTTATTGATCAAGAGTCCATACTATTCTTTTTATTTCTTTTTTTAAGAAAATATTGAATAAATCTATGTACATAATGATCTGAATATTGTAATAAATTTTAGAACAATAATATACAATATATAATTAATAATAGTGATTTTTATTAGAATAATTTTTATTAAAACACCTAAGTTATTGTTTACACAAAAAAATTAATTAACTATTTTCGGATTAATTGTATCTAAATACATTGTAATTATATTTGTATTCTTTTACATCAGGTATCTGGAATTGTTGGACGTGCTGAATTATTATGCAGTTTATTTACATGGCTATCAATTTTGTTGTACAGCCATATAATACATGCAAAAAATATAGTACGTGCATGGGTTGCTATGCCCAGTTTTGTTATTTGTATAACTGCAGCAATGCTGTGTAAAGAAACTGGAATCACTACAATTGTGAGTATCAAAATTGCATTCCTAAACTGATTCTTATGTAACTAAAAGATATTTATTTTTTACAGGGTATTTGTGCAATATATGATATAGTTATTGTGAACAAAATATATCCAATTGACATAATCAAATTTTTTTCGTTTAAACACATTAATAAAAATTTAAATAACTTGATTAAATATAAAAATACTGTGTTACGACTTGCCGCACTTGTTTTCATCGCAATAATACTCTTATTTCTCAGATTTAGTATTATGGGGTTTTCCACTCCAAAATTTCAATCAGTAGATAATCCAGCATCTTTTATGGATAATATATTGCTTCGTATACTTAATTATAATTATATCTATTGCCTGAATATATGGTTACTTATATGCCCCATATGGCTCTGTTTCGACTGGTCAATGGGCTGTGTATCTCTGATCACTGGCTATGATTATAGAACTTTTGTGGTCATTAGTTCCTGGTTCATGTTTGGAACGTTAATTATATACACGTTTACCTCTTATAAGGACAAGACTTTAAGGTAATTTAAAAATTTTTTTTAATTTGAAAAAATACATGCTGAGAAATGTATGTGTGTATAAAGTATATGAACTTTTGCAGATACGTAATTATGGGACTTACAATATTGATTTGTCCTTTTCTGCCAGCTAGTAATATTTTCTTCAATGTTGGATTTGTTTTGGCAGAGAGAGTATTATATATTCCTTCGGCGGGATATTGTTTATTGGTTGTTATAGGCTTACAGAAATTTTCTGCCAGATTTTCATTGACTAAAACGTCGTTATTAGCATATGCGATGCTCATTCTATTATTATTTATACGTTCTTGGATAAGGAGTAGTCAGTGGAGAAATGAGAAGTTACTTTTTCAATCGGCATTAGACGTATGTCCTCTCAATGCAAAAGTGCATTACAATATCGCGAAAAATGCTGCGGATGCAGGAGACGTTCATCTTGCCAAATTGGAATATCAAGAAGCTTTACGGTAATGTATAAAGTTTTTTAATTTTCTACTAAGAAACTTCATCGTTATACATTTATCTTTACATTACATAGATTAAATCCAAAATATGCTCAAGCTATGAATAATCTTGGCAATTTACTCAAGGATGACGGGCAGCTTTTGGAAGCTGTAAGTTTGTTTAAACAAGCTGTTAATTTACAGTAAGTTTAAAATCGTAAGGTTAAGTATTGTCACTTAAGAAATGAATAGTTGCATCTTATTGTATCTTATACACAAGCAGAACGCACGTACGCGCGCGCACGCATACGCATTCTCTCTTCCTCTCTATTTTTCTTTCTTTCCATTGTGATATTAAGAAATAGAAATGTTCATTATATAAATATAAATAAATATATATATATA